TGAAGTGAGGCTGCTATCCCTCCGCTTGACAGCATGAGGAAATCGTCAACGTAACACACAAGCAGTCCTCTCAACTCCTTCCCAGGGCCTCGGATCTTGAAGATGTTGCCCTCTGTGGAACCTTGCTCAAGCCAGTGCTCCTCCAGTTCTCCGGTCTCGGGGTTGGGGGCCTGGAACCTAAGCTGCCGAAGACAATCATCTCTGTACTCCGTCCACCAACGTGGTGATTCACGAAGGCCGTAGATGGCCTTTCCCACCTCCCAGACTTCCGTTTCTTGAACCAGGCCTAGGGACCGGAGTATGGCCGGGGGCCGTAGGAGGTACCGGCGAGAAGTGCCCAGCGGGGCCAGGAGGAAGGCTGTGTGCACGTCAGTGCCGTAGGCCTTCCATTTCTCCCTTCCTGCGAGGAGGAGAGACGCTCGCAGGATATCACCTGCCACGCCTGCTGCGTAAAGATCGGCCGTATCGGTGTAAGCCGACTCATTGCCGCAGGCCACCAATCGTGCCTTCCGTCGGAAGGGCTGGCGGGGCCTTCCGTCGCTGTGGTGTTTGCCTGGCTTGACGGTGTAGACCCCTTTAGCATGGAGAAGAGTACTCCGCGGATCCCTCTGCAACTCAGAAGCCTCCTTCCCTGTCACCTTCCGAATCGCCCCCTTTGAGAGAAGGGACTCAATCTCATCCGACAAGGCGGTCCTCCACTCCTCTGCATGCAACCTAGCCTCGGCAGGCGAAACCGTGTACGTGGTTTCCAANNGGGTTCTCCCCCAAGGCCTTGAGCTTGGCCTCGACATCTGGAGTGAACACCTCGACCTTGTGCAACTCAGGAGGAGGCCTATTAACGCATGTCCTGCCGGGTGTGTGCTCACACAGCTTAGGGAGGAGAAGCGATGAGGGGATCAGGAAGGCCGGGTCTATCTGGGCAACTGGCAGCATCGGGAAACCTGGGCTTGGCACAGTCACCGAATCCGAAGTTTCAGAACTTTCGGGGGAACTCGGGTTCTCGGCGTTGGCATGGGCTCTCAAGGCCCGGGCTGCGGGGCCCCCATCCGAACTGGAAGCTTGATGAACCCCTGTATCGCCCCCACCAGGTGGGCTCGAGTTTAGGGCTTCCAAACGCATTTGAAGCTCCGACAGGGTCGGTTCAGCTGCTTGATAGAGGAGAGCTTGGGAAGGGAGGTACCATTCGGACAGCTCTCCCTCATAGCACGCTCGGTGTCTGTGGTCGGCATAATTGAAAACATTGGAGTAGCGCTCGAGGTCCGCTACGGAGGGCTCGTCGTCGGTAGGGTCGACATGGCAGGACACCATGAAGAACTGATCGCCCAGGTAGGCTCCTCTGCTATCTACATCTTCAACCGTGCGCCTAAACCTGAAACCCATCCGGTAATCCCGGACTCCGAACTCAGCTCCATTCAGCTCAAGGACTTGCCCAATTAGGGACCTTGTCCGCTCGTATCCCTGAGGCTCATCGGTGGGCCTGAGGAAGTCCAGACATTCCCTCATTACCACATCCCCGTT